TTTGAGAATCTTGGGATGTGGTTAAGGAGAAACCTCATGGGAGAATACTTTAACAGTGATGTCAACATAACTCATTTGTGAGCAAAATGAAAAGCCAACTTTTCCTCCCTAAGGATAACCTAGAAACAAACTTGTTTGCAAAAGCAAGGGAATAATTGGCACCATTCTCTCCACATTGTCCAATTTATTTAGTTTCACTTAAACTCACAGTAAAGGGCACTGGAAAGGATAAGAAAAAGATAAGTTTAGGGGTAAAGAGGAAAATAATGATTCTGTGAGAGATTGTGTTCATAAGAGAAGGTGACTGATTTACTGGAATATTTGTATTAACAACCATAGCCTATATCTGACTATGAAGTATCTTTTGAATAATCTTTTATTTATAATTATTTGCTGACTAATGTCCCAAACCAGAATAGCAGTGTACCTCATTAAAATACAGAGACCCCCCCATAAACCCTATTCTTTAGAGGATGGAATTCCGTAAGAATCAGTTGGCTCCTGGATCCCATCCAGTGCATTATAGCTTTTGAAGGCTAGCAAGATTTCACTTTAAGGTGGTTCCATGTTTAAAGTTTGAGCAAGGTTTCGGGATAAGTTTTCTTCATTTTTTAAATGTTTCTTTTGGTATAAATGATATGGACTCATAAAAATTTCAAATTACATGAAGATATACAGAACTACATGAAGAAAAAAAGGCATTCCTACACCTATATATGAGCACTATTGATATTTTGATGAAAAATCCTTCCAGATATCTTCCCAGGTAGTTGTACAGTACACATATGTGTTTTTGTTACTCTAAATAGAAAGGGCTACAGTGATGCTTTTAGGATGGAGACAGCCCCCTTCACTTTTAATATGAGTGGTTAGTACATAGAAGAAAGAAAATTAACTTCTATACCTAAAACACTGCAGACATCAGTGTTTAATTAAACATTTTTAAGATGATCTTTTTCAGGAAAAATGAAATAATTCTGAAATATATTGAGGGTTCTGAGTGCACATGGGGGTATAGAGGCTTTGCTTATTCATCCAAGTATCCAGGTTAAAGCACTGTGGCAACTTGGAAGGTCTAAGTATAGGACTAAAACAGCACCATTAACTCTCCATCTTCCCATATCTCAGGCAAATTAGAAATAGATGTCTATTCATAGTTCTTTAGCCATTATAGATGGCCAGGTGGATGGAGTGGGTATCATTGTCGTCAACTCAAATGAAATTCATAGCTCTCTGAAAAAAGCCCAGTGCACGAATACTAGAGGCCCAGTGCATGGATTCATTCACAGGTGGAGTCCAGCCGGGGGGAGGGGCTGCAGGAGATTGGCCAGCTGGCCCCGCCCCTGATCGGGCTGGTTGGCCGGCCGCAGTGCGGATCATAGCAACTGGTCATTCCTGTCCTGTCGTTCCGGTCGCTTGGCTTTTATATGTATAGATGTGTGCAGTAATCAGTTCAATGATACTGTGTGATTGAATGAACTTCTGAGGAGATCATGAAGGATCTTTTCCTAACCACTATAATATTCAAGATTAGTCATTTAGAATGTCTTTAAGTTCCCTCAGTTGGTAGCCCAATAGTTGGTATACTGCCTTAAATAGTTCAAAAGGCAAGTCTCTGCCATTGGCAGTGACTGGAAACTGTAGGAATTTCTGCCAAAGTTCTCGTGATCTAATCCTCTCTTGGAAGTACAAAGCCAAAGCATGCATTGAAATGCCTGAGTCAGCCACTCAAGGGATATACTGGCTGCAACCCTCCTCATTTTTCTGGGATGAAAAAATCTGCTTGGTGACCTGAGACAGCTAGCTAGCTTTAACTCTCTCCACCTAGAAATACATGTATTATAACTGCATAGAAAACGCACGCGCACACACACACACACATAAACTATATCTAAATGTTGGCATAATTGAAAAAGAACCCTTTATGATCTCTTATATTTTCTAGAGTTATGCTTAATTTCAGCAGATCTTGGTTAGTAACTTATAAGAAAATAACTTCACCTCTTCTATTGATTGCTGTTTAAAAATTTTAACTTTTCCAACTTTCTAATTTGGGGAAGGAAAAGAAAGCCACCTACTATTTATTGAATGTTTAATATATGCCTGGAATTGTTACTTGTTTAGTGTTAACTCCTATTTTATAGACAAGGACCTCAGAACAGGAAGTGAGGTCACATAGCTCTGAAGTGGCAAGCACAGTTAGTATTTGAACCAGGTCTGTATGTTCCCAAACGCCTCTCTACCACCTCATCATGCTATAAAATGAACTGTAGAATGTTAATATAAAAAACTATTATCAATATTATTAAGTAAAAAATACAAGGTGCAGAACAGTAAGCATAATATACTGCCGCTATGTGAAATGTGAGTGTATACATATATTCACGTGTGTGTGTCTGTAGTACATATGCTTAGAACATCTAGTATATCTCTGGAATACCATACAATGGTTGGACCCTGGGAGGAGGAACTGTGTTGCTAGAAAGCTAGACTTTTCATTATAAAATCTTTTATCCAGTTGAATTTTGTCATATATGCATACATTTGATTATTTTTTAGATTTAGTAGTTTATTAGTAAAGTTTCATAAGCATAAAGCTTCTAATGCTATAAAATGTTAATGCTAGCTCTTATGATACTGATAAGCATTGATAATGATCATATCTTTCTAGTTTTTAATTCCCATCATCTACTCTAATGACCTACCACTTTGGAATTTGAAAGGGAGATAAAATATTGATATAATATATAATTGATGTTAGCAGAAATAATGGTGACTGATTCTTCTACGTTCAACTATTTACATTTTTAGTGCTATTTAAGATTTTAATAATCTTTGGTTTATCTATTTTTTGAAATAAGAACATCATGCCTCAAATACAGTAGTTGCCAGTCATGATTGAGGTAAAAGAAATCTATATATATAAAAGGCTAATATGCAAAGTGTCCGACCGTCCAACCAGTCACTATGACAGGCACTGACCGCCAGAGGGGCAGACACTCAACACAGAAGCTGCTGTGACACGCACCGGCCATTTACAGAGAAATGGCACTGCGGACCTGGCACCAACAAAACAATACTCGGCTTCCCCCAAGTGGGACACAGGCCCCACCGCCACCCCGGAGTGACAGCCCACCAAATTGCAGCCCATGCTGCCAAGATCCCATGGTGCAAAATGCAGCCCACAGCCCAGCCCAGCCCAGAAATGGTCATTGTGGGTGCTGGGTAATGAGTCACGTAACAAAGCCTGGCTTCTTCTCCCTAGCGACTAGCATCTTTGGAGTTTCTTCAGCCCAGGAACATGACTTGCTTTATACCCAGGTGCATACATTTCACACTTTAACCAAATGTCTGCGAAGCATTTTCCCTGTGCCTCATCTCATTTGATCCTCACAGAAGTCCTGGAGTAGGTAGATAGGAGACTCAGTGGAATCCTGTTTTCTTTTCATTAGTCGGAAAAAGGAGATTTAGAAAGCTTAGAAACTTGACTCAACTGAAAAGACGTAAGAAATAGTGGACCTTGAAAATGACTTCAGGTTTTCTCACTGTGCAGAATATAGTCAAACACTGCTGCAGTTAAATATTTCACCCTTTGTTCTCCCTATGTGATCTACAATAATAATCTGCTTCATGTTGGTATTTACTGCTGTGTTGCTGACAATTACCTGAAAGAGAAGTTGGGGTGCTTTACTGGGCTGGAAAAAGTTTAGCTAAATCAGAAAGCAGGTCTAATTAAGTAAGCTTATCTATGTGTATAAAGCTCTCTCTGGTGCCAATCTCACGCGTGTGTTTCGATCTGTCATTGTTGATCGTGAATTTGATTGACACTTTTATTATAGGAAAAGGGTGAATAGCGATATTAAAATATTTCTTCTAATTAATTTCCTTTCAGTGTGCACGAATTCATGCCCTGGGCCTCTAGTATTTTATGTTTCCTAAAATTGAACTTAAACGAAAAAAGTTTCCCATCTATTAAAAGCTATATTTTAATTTGGGGCTACCATTTATGGAAATACCTTACCTTGAATATGCTAATTTTTGTACTTGTTTTCAAAATTGTAATGATCTGTTTACACAGTTGTCTTCCTTAGTAGAGTGGTCATTCCTTGAGGGCAGGGTCCATGCCTCATTTGTTCTTGTTTCTCAGGACCTTGCCTAGTGCTTGACACTTAGTAGGTAGCTAAGAATGTTGATTGAATTGAATCAAATTGAACTAGAGGTACTTAGCTTTAGTCCAATGAAGAGAGCGAGAAATTATCTCACTCTTCAGATAGTTGAAGGTGTTCTCTCATGTGGAAGAGAGTGCTCTATATGGCTTCAGTAAACAGAAAAAACAATGAGTGAAAGTTTCAAGATGTTTCTAAATGTTGACTCATCTAAATGTAGGTGGCGCTGTCTCAGGAGGTACTGAATCTATCACCAGGAGATTCATTCATGGCTGGTCAAATCCCAAGACAATTTAAGATTTAATTATTCATTTGTTTCTTCACTCATTTATTGAAACATTTGCTGAACAGACACTGTTCTAGATATTGGATGCCAAGATTGAATAAATCATAATCCTTGCTTGGGGAATTCAACAGCCAGCAGGGGAACAGAAGTTTAAGCAAAGGATTACAACCCAGGGTTCTAAGAGAATGTTGTTGTAGAGGTGTAATGGTAATACCCTGGAGAGAGGAGACAGAAAATGCTGCTGAGGTGACTCTTGAATAGAGTTGATCAGGCAGACCAAGGGGGGAAGGAGTGTCCTAAGAAGACAGAACAATACATACATAAACTCAGAAGTTAAAGTTATCAAAATAGAGTAATGCTATTTCATTTGTATTGCATGCCCTTAAAGGACCCTCCAATACTAAGATTCTGTGTGCTGGCTCTTTAAATTAGTGTTTTTGGCTTTGTTTTTTACTTTATGCTAGATATTGCATGAATGTATGCATTTTAGTTGTCATTTTTTATAGGAAGCAAAAATACTAACCTCCTTCTTTGATTTTTGTTCATAGTCAAATTCATCCGAGAAGTAACGCCATATATCAAGAAGCCATCATTAGTATCAGATCTGCCATGGGAAGGTGCAGCTCCCCAATCACCAAGCTTTAGTGGCAGTGAAGACTCTGGTTCTCCAAAACACCAGAACAGCACCAAGGACAGGAAGGTCATTCCTCTCAAAATGTGCTTTGCTGCTAGAAACCTAAGCATGCCGGATCTGGAGAACAGGTGAGCTGTACCTAAGCAGAACGTCATACTTAAAGACAAGTTGCAATATCATTTTGCAGTAACATGACTGACTAAATTTCACAGAGGGAAACATCAGTCTGAGATAAGAGAATAGTTTTTGGCATTCCATATTTAAATTACTTCATGCATATGTGTACAGTACATATATAGAAAATTTGGGGGCAAACAGACAAGAAGCTTAATGGTGGATACTCCTGGGGAGTGAAATGGGATTGGAAGGAAAGAAGGGACTTATGGTCTTCGTTTTATACCTTTCTGGAATGTTAGTATTACTTTTTTCACTATGAACGTTACTTTGTAATTGAAATAATTTTACTGTAGTAATTTTTTAAATGTTTGTTTAGGTGTAAATTCCTTATACTGTTGGTGTGTAAAGAGTCAGAGATCTGCATTGTAGACCTGACTATCAACTAATAATGTGAACCTGGCAAGTTAGCTTCTCTTGACCTTAGTTTCCTTGTTTGTAAAATGGGAGAGTTGAATTGGATAATTTCTAATGTCCCTCCTAGTTCTATAAACATTTGGTTTCTATGAGTTTGTCTTCATTAACTCCATAAAGTGGTACTGGTAAACCTAGTGTTAGGTTAGGGATTAGTGGGGAGGGGTGGGAGGTAAACTTGTCCAAATACACAGTTAAGGACAAACTTTTTATTATGAGCTTTCACTTTTATGGCCTCCTCCAGTCTGAATGCAGGGCCAGGTACCTGATCAGATGGAATGGATCATAGAAGACAGCAAGTAGCTGAGTGACTTTCTTGGGCATTTTAGACCACAGGGACATTAAAGCTCCTGCTCTATAGCATGTGGTATGGTATGCCCTAACGGACTGCGCTCTGCAATCAGACAGACCTTGATTTGAATCCCACCTAGGTACCTGCGCAAAGGAAGGGTCTGAGCAAGTCCCTTCATCTCCATAAACTGCCATATCTTCACCTGTTCAAAAACACCCCCAAAAACATAATAACTCATTGTGAAGACTAAATATGAAGCCCTTTGCATAGAGTCAAGCACATAGTAGATCCTTTAAAAATAGTAGCTTTAAAAAGTATTTAAAATGTCTACACACTTTTAAAATTATATTCTGATGCCGAAACCGGTTTGGCTCAATGGATAGAGCATCGGCCTGTGGACTGAAAGGTCCCAGGTTCGATTCCGGTCAAGGGCATGTACCTTGGTTGCGGGCACATCCCCAGTGGGAGATGTGCAGGAGGCAGCTGATCGATGTTTCTCTCTCATCGATGTTCCTAACTATCTCTCTCCCTTCCTCTCTGTAAAAAATCAATAAAATATATATTTTTTAAAAATTATATTCTGATATATTTGTATTGTTTTTGTTGCTTTTTTAAATGTTTTAAATATTTTTTTATTTATTTCAGAGAGAAAGGAAGAGGGAGAGATAGAAACATCAATGATGAGAGAGAATCATTGATTGTCTGCCTCCTATACACCCCCTACTGGGAATCGAGCCCACAACCCAGTCATGAACCCCTGGATTGAACCCAGGACCTTTTAAATAAGTTCCTTAATTTCTCTATCCTCCTGTTTGTATTTTTCTGTTTGTAAAATGGACTCATACCTGCTCAACTATATTCTTTAGAACTACTTCAATGATAAATAAGATAATATCTATAAAATTAACTGGACCTTTTGATCCTTAAATTTATCTCCACTTGGTCAAAGGAAGTGTCATGGCAGGTGACACAGTTTCAACATTTAAAACCATGCAAAAAATCACAATTTATATAGGAACAGCAAAAATAAGTTTCATCAGGACATCTGTCATCAAGACACTTATCAAATTGCAGCTTTATTTAGCTGACTGTTTCTGTTTGAAAATCTTTATCTTCCATAGTCTTTTGTAAAACTCTGAGCAAGAAATAGGCTTAGATGTTCTCTAATCTGGAAAATACTTTGGAATCTGTTTTTAAGCCGTAGGTAGGTAGGCATGTGGTTTCTCATCATCCCATCATTCTTCACTTCCCCCTAATATTTTATTATGAAAATCTTTCAACACATGGCAAAGTTGAGAGGATTTTATAGTCACTGCCCATTTTTCCACCACCTAGATTCTGCCATTAACATTTTACTCTATGTTTTATCACAGTTTTTATAAAATGCATTTTAGAGTGAATTGCAGACATTAATATATTTTCCTCTAAATACTTAAGCATTCATATAAATAACTAGAATTCAGTGTTTTTTATAGTTTTTCCCCCTGTTGGGTCAATATTTACATACAATAAAATGCATAAATCTTAAGTTTTGACAAATGCATACAATTATATAGCACAAGCCTATCAAGATACAGAACATTACCATCATCCTGGAAAGTTTTCTTGTGCCCCTTCTCAGTCAGTTCTCTCTCCCACCTCCCAAGGCAACTACTGTTCTGATTTTCTAGCTTAGTTCTAACTATCCTACAACTTTATATAAGTGTATTTTTTTGTGATGTGATAGAATTATTTTGCTTTGCATAAGGTTTTTGAGACTCGTCCATCTTGTTGCATATATTGATAGTTCTTTCTCTCTGTTGCTGAGTAGTATTGTGTTGTATGAATGTATCACACTTTATCTTTATTTTTGTGTTGATGGATACCTGAGCTATTTCCAGTTTGGAGGTGATATTAAAAAAGTTATCGTGAATATATATTTTTTTAATCCTTACCCGAGGATATTTTTTTCATTAATTTCTAGAGAGAGTAGAAAGGAGGGAGGAGGGAGAGAGAAAGAGACCCTTTGGTCTGTGGGCTGACACTCTAACCACTGAGCAAAACCAGTCAGGGCTATTGTGAATATTTTTCTATAACTCTTGTTGTGGGCATACACTTTCATTTCTCTTGGGTAAATTCTTAGAAGTGGAATTGCTGG